TACGCCGGATGCCATTCCTGACGCAACCCTCCCCATTTCTCCGGGCTTGGGACCGGCACTGGGGAACAGTGCACCCCCAGGGGAGGGCACTGCCCCCCAGCGGCTGGGTTGATGGGATTATTTGGGGATAACCTCCTGAATATGTGGGAGTCATCCAGGCCATTGTGGTGCGTAAGATTCCTGCATGTGCACATTAGTGATAATAAAATACCGTAAGTAAAGCAGTATTCGGTTTCTCTGCTCCGCAAATGTGGAAACGATTTCCTGAAGACTCGCGATATGCTCAGAACTGTCAGTACATTTGAATCCGGCCTGAAAACGTTATTGGTTCCAAAATATGATTTCCTGTTTTCACCATTTTGCTTTTATTTTGTAAATTGAACTCGATATTCTCAAAATGTTTTCATTTTTATTCTTTTCTGCTTTTATGTCTTTTTTTTTTTTATCTAAGGAGGGCAAATAACGATGAGGACACAGTTAAAATTTAAATGAGCATTGTTATTCGTTACTCTATTCTCTGTTTTTTTACATTATGCACAACTCTCATTTATTGTGCCATAATATAATTGTAACATGTATTTGTTGCATATTGTGATGCATTTTTATGCTTTAGAAAACATTTATATCTGAATTTTGGCGGGGCTTGGAACGGATTAGGGCATTTACATGGAAAACGCGTCTCTACTCAACAAAATTTTCTAGTTAATTAAGAAATTTCTTCCAGGACCAATTAATTTCGTAAGTAGAGGTACCTCTGTATGCATTTTTATAAAATTTTTAATTTGGACAGATTTAGTACCAGATTTTGTAATCTTTTGGTGCAGGTGTCACAATGTGTCCGATCTCCATGGTTTATATTGACCCCAAAAGAATGTCATTGCTTTCATTGCTTGTTGAGATACATGATAAATACTGAGAGTCACATTGTTTTCCAGGTCAAAATGTGCCGTTAAGTGTGTATTTATATCAGACATCAATAACTATCTCCATTTGACACTGTTGCGTGAGCAACCATGTCATCAAAGAAAGAGACATGATGTGCTCCCATATCGAAGTGGTTTAAATATGGTGCTTCTCCTCTCCTTGGCTTCTTGCCCTGCCAACTCCTCCCTTGTTGCAAGTAAGATCTGAGAGAGAGAAGAGTTTAAAAGCCTCATTAAGCACAAGTGGCATCTCTGTGTGCTCCAATGAACATCATGGTGCTTTCCATCTGGCTCTTGCTCTCATTCACAGTCGCCCCGGGTCTGGCGGCACCCACGTCCACGCCGAAGGGAGCCGCCTCTCCTTCCCCTACTGCGCACACTGACTTGAAAACGGCCACAGTAAGTGGAGTCAAGATTCATGTGACAGGACGGCATGGGATTTAGCAAAGCCAATGTTTTTATGAAATGTAAATCAAGGGACATAGGAGAGGTATGTAAATACAGATTGCTCGAAATTCTTTTTTCCAAACGTTGGCAAATTCTTTGACCGTTAATTCTTTTCATGCAGCCCGAGGAGAACATTTGTTTCAAACTCATGACTGCCTGTTTTTTTTTTTTTAGTTAAAGGTCACTTTTTACGATCCCCTGTGGTATTTTTTTTTAAGGACACCACGACAAAATTTGAGCAACTCTAAAAAAAAAATTAGGAATAGTTTCCTACGATACGAAGCGTGACCCGACTTTGTGGAGCTGTCTTTAAGCGACTAACATTTTAAACCAAGTGGTGCCCCAACATATTTTGACATACATGATAAAAATAGGCGGCCCGGTCGTCGAGTGGTTAGCGCGTCAACCTCACAGTGCAAACGTGCCGGGTTCGATTTCGGCTCTGGTCTCCTTGTGTGGAGTTTGCATGTTTTCTCCGTGCCTGCGTGGGTTTTCTTCGGGTACTCTGGACAGTGTAGATGGGCACTGTGAGTGAAACAAAATTTTGATGCACACATACTGTAGGAATACCTTAAGCGCTACTACGAGCTGCAAGAAGAGCCCCTGGAAGGCCGAAAGCCGAGCGGCCTCTCCTTTGCGTCTAAGCTGAAAGAGATGCAGACCTTCTTCAGGCTCAATGCAACAGGAAATCTAGATCAGGACACCATGCAGGTCATGAGGAGGCCTCGCTGCGGCAATCCAGATTCCGAAGAGTCCAGCGGTCATACCCAAGGGGCACAATGGCACAAGAAGGTCATCACGTACAGGTGAGAAGAGATTCCTTTTGGTGAGACAGTAGAAGATCATTTGACTTTTGATGGGCTAAATGCCTTGATGTGACAGTTGCCAAGGGTCAACTGGGATCGACTCCAGCGCACTTGTGACCCTCATGATGACAATTTTGATGAATGGTGCACAACTGAAATGATCAAAAGGGAAATGCTTCAAAAGGACTGAATTCCGCAAAGCTGCCAACTAAGTTTGCGACGTGACTCTGCTCCGACGGTCATGCAATCAAGATTTTGTTGTGTTTCAGCATTGGCAGGTATACCAAAGACATGCCTCGCAGCACCGTCGACTCCCTGCTCAAGTCCGCTCTCAGCGTCTGGGCCAGAGCCAGCGGTCTGACATTTGTCCGCTCGCACACCCGCCCCGCCGACATCACGGTGGAGTTTGTCACCCAGGGTGGGTTTTGTTTGAGCTTTCAAACACGGATAACCCAAAGAGCACTTTTGTTGTTCACCGACTGCACTTTAGATGAGACAAACTGAAAACAGTGATTGTGTCTTCAAGTGAAACGAATACTGTTATCTCTGCATGGAAAAAGTGATGTGAGTGATATTGTCTTTGATTGTTTGGCATGATGCATTTTTGGGAGGGGTGACGCATACCAGGCAAGAAGCCAAGACATTTTTCTGCAAATGCAGGGGATGGTTTTCTTTTCAGTTCCAAAACAGATGGACTGCCAAACAAAATTACAGCTTGCCGCTTTGTTTTGCGTTCTTGTTTGAGTTGGTCGAATTCTAACGTCATCCTGCATCAACGGGGATGTAACCTGTTTGAGCAAAATGATTTTCTTGATTTTAACTGACTAATCTTTCGAGCGGCCTGGTGGTCGACTGCTTAGCGCGTCACCCTCACAGTGCAGAGATGCATGGTTCGATTCCGGCAGTTTGCATGTTCTCCCTGTGCCTGCGTGAGTTTTCTTCGGGGACTCCAGTTTCCTCCCACATTCCCAAAACTTGCATGGCATGTTAAAGGAACATTCAAAATTGTCCGTAGGTGTGAGTGTGAATGGTTCTTCGTCAATGTGTGCCGTGCGATTGCCTGGCAACCAGTTCAGGGTGTCCCGAAGACAGCTGGGATGGGCTCCAGCCCGCCCCGCGACCCTCGTTAGGCTAAACGGATCAGAAAATGGATGGATGGATGGATGGATGGATATATCTTTTGGGATCGCAGTCCTGGAACTATTCTGACACTTGTACCTTGGTGGGTCTCTGCACTCGATATTGACTCTTACCTAGATGTTGTATATTTGTGTTCTGGATTACAAAATGAAGAACATGGTGATTCATATCCATTTGATGGACCCGGTGGCTCGTTGGCTCACGCTTTTGGTCCAGGACAGGACGTCGCAGGAGAAATGCACTTTGATGATGATGAACGCTGGACAGCAACAGGCACATCTGGTTGGTTCTCTCATTTCATGGTCAAAAAGGCAATGGCTGCTTTTATCTTCAAACACGTCAATCCGTTCCGTGTTGTGCTTTTCTGGGCAGGATCGAATCTTTTGGTGGTGGCTGCACATGAATTAGGCCACACGTTGGGTCTAAAGCACTCAAGGAACCCTGCATCACTCATGCACCCCAACTACAAGGTCGTTCCCTCAGGGGCCAACCTCCTCTCCAGAGAAGATGTCAGCGATATCGTCGCACTTTACCGTAAACTCATCTGTTCGTTTCAGAAACATTATTGATCCTCAATCCCGGTTCTCAAAGGCACTCTCATGTTTGTGTCAGATCGGCGACACTATCTTTCAGGACTGTTCCCCCGAATCATACGAAACAGATGTGCTCCTGATGTGACGTTCGATGCCGTCTCCACACTCGGGGATGCCACCATCTTCTTCAAAGACAGGTGCAGTGATGATTTTGACCGGGCACTTTTTTACGGCGAGCCTTAAACTGAGCCCATTGTTCCCATGTAGATATCTTTGGATGAAACACAATAAGGAGAACGATATCAAAGAAGGTCCAATCACCAACTTTATGCCTAAGATCGAAACCAGAATTGACGCGGCCTTCTGGGTTCCGCGCAGGTCCACCGCTTACCTCATTCACGGTAACACATTTTTACAAGTACGGCAGAATGAAAGGGTTTCATTGCGGCTTTTATATGAATTTCATTCCATATTTTGTGACAGAATCAATGTTCTGGACGGTGAAAGGTTCTGTCGTCAAAGGAAAGCCCAGAGCTCTGTGCCACTTTGGCTTTCCCGCCTGGGTGCAGGACGTCGATGCTGCTGTGCACATCGCCGCAACGGGACGCACCCTCTTCTTCATGCATGACATTTATTGGAGGTATAACATACACACGAGGCTGCATAGTTTGTTCATTTGAGGTTATTTTAGGGGAGCATTTAAGGTGTGTGCTGTGGAGAGACAGACGTCATCATTTTTTTTTTGTGTACAATTTAAAACAAGATTTTTCTGCAGGCATCTAATTGGGCGGCAAGGTAAAAAGGTTACTTGCTGGTTTGTTTATACAAAAAAATGTGTTGCGAAAATAGAACAGAATGAAATTAAAGGAAAGGGCAAGAACTAGTTGCAGCTAGAACATTACGCATGATGCAACCTCAAAGGTCTCAGATTCGTTGTCGGAGTCATAACTTCTTTTTCTCATTTGATGCAGCTTCAATGAAAACAGAAGAGTGATGGACTTTGGTTACCCGAAGTACATCAGCGAGGACTTTCCTGCACTCAACTCAACAATCAATGCCGCCATTCACAAAGACGGTGAGCCACCGTTATGATCGCCCGCAGTAAACATGAACTTTTTTGATGTCACGTTGGGGGTTCCGCTTTAGTTGGCCTCGACACCACAAGTGCCGTTCACATCACGCATTTGCAGTCACTTGGGGCACACTCCGTTGTGCCCCATAGTCCAATAAACAAACTGTGTATATCACTCCACCAGGCTGTTTGGATGACAAACTAGAGGCTGACTGCGTCAATCCACTTAAGACAGTTGGTAAAAATTGAATTCTGTCTTCCTTTTATACTGTACTCGGTGGCCCAGTGGTCGAGTGGTTAACATGTCGATTTGACAGTGCGGAGGTTCGATTTCAGCTCCGGCCTTCCTGTGTGGAGTTTGCATGTTCTCCTCGTGGGTTTTCTCCGGGTACTCCGGTTTCCTCCCACATTCCAAAAACATGCATGGCAGACTGATTGAACACTCTAAATTACCCGTAGGTGTGAGTGTGAGCGCGGATGTTTGTTCATCTCTGTGTGCCCTGCGATTGGCTGGCAATAAAAAAACAGATTAAAAACCATCATGTAAGTAATTTTGCCCTCTTAGAGATGTGATCCCCCCTCACCCCGTTCCTAGGTTTCATCTATTTCTTTGTTGGACCACAAGTGTACAAGTACGACTACGCCAACAAGCGCGTCGCTGGAGTTGAGAGGGCAAATTCTTGGCTGGGCTGTTGATGCTCAGCAATGACCCGGTTGTCGTCAGCAGAATACGGATCACATGAGAAACACTCTCCACTTCATTACCTGCGAGATGTCGGTAATGGAAATAAAGGATTTCTATTTAAACCTGAGAATGTGTCTGCTTTGGGTCCGGATGGGGAGTAACATATTCTTCACTCCGATGGATATCATATGCAGAGTCTCGATTTGATCTTTTCCCATCAGTGCTGTTTAAGACCGAGGAATATGACTGACCATATTTAGCTGGTAAGGTAATGAGCACTATGCAAGGCTCTTTTGGGCTTACCGGCATGACATGGCAGAATGTTCAAAACCGAGGCCACGTACTGCTGCCGGGTCTTAATTATAACCTGAAGCAAGCGGTGGTCCAATTCAGGCTGAGCGAGTTGGCGTGTCTTGTGGTATGTTGCTGTTCTTTCGTGACATCTCAAAATGCCGTGACACGGTGGAGCTCTTCCAGATCGTTCACAGAGCTTTGGCAGGAAAGTCGCGTTGGCTCCATGCAAGACAACAGCTGCGCCAAAGGGACAATGGGAACACTCGACAATGCCTTCGGGAGACACTTTTATTGCTGCAACCTCATTACTATGTACACACTGCAGTCTGGATTTATATTTGTACCCTCTAAAAATGGTCTCAAATACACAGAGCACTCACTTCTTCAATTTCTCACCGCCAGAATTCAGAGGTCCAAATAACGCAATGTCATGCTGGACTCCATTCCAAAGTGCCAAAGCAGCTGGAGCTGGACTGTGTTTTGTGTTTGTCAAGGTTATCGTAAAGGTGAAGAGAATTCTGTCCACAACAAAAACATGGCAGCGCTTTTTTGTGACAAGTTGACTCGCCTGCCAATTTTTCAACGCTTTCATGGCACTGTCAGCAAGATTCCATTGTATGTTTATTACCGATTTGATTGACGTGTTGGCGAGCATCATGTTTCCTAGTCCAGCCTAACACAACTTTAGTATATTGAGCAATTGTTATTGATTCTGTGTTACTGAGTAATGATAGCAGGCACCAACTCCACCGTTTGCACTGTGGGTTTGTCTAAATGGGACGAACGAGAGCAGTACAGAGGGCACTAGTGGAAAGAAGAGTTGAAAGAGGAGAATCATGATGCTGCGATCAGCTTTACGGACGCTGTTGCTTGTTGTGGGTTTTTGGGCGGTGAGCCATGCAGCACCGACCCTCGCGCCGACCGTTTCGCCAGAGGAAAACGACCTGGCTGAGGTAAAATGCAACCGCGTAGACATAAACTCCCTCAACTAGGAGCTGCGAGGAATACGCAGGTGAAGACAAGAGTCTTTACATATTTGTAAAACATTCCACTGTCCTTAATTTCCTTCACAGGATTAAGTACAGTTGAACCTTTCATTTTGGACATTTTGTTGTCGGGCAATGGCGAATGTCATATTTGGTCAGATTTAGGAACATTTTCCATACATGGGACTAAAAATAATCGGGAAAAATAAGTTAACCACTATTCATAAAAAAACAAAAAAAACAAAACAAAACAAAAAAAACAAGTTCCACTGTCTATTCTTCTTAACACTCCTTGTTGAGTTTGGCGTGTCTAATGTAATACGTCTTGCAAAAAAGACAAATGAAAATGCAGAGGTTCAAACTTCATTGCCTTCAAGATGTTTTGCTTTGCATTAGAAATATATCTCACAGTTTTACGATGATGTCGGCACCAGAAACTTTACAAGGAGAAACCTTGTTCCGAGAAATTTTAGCGAAGATCTGGAATCCATGCAGGCTTTCTTCGGCTTGGAGGTAAAAACCACAAAAGACACAATGCCGCCGGAATGGATTCATTGGTGAAAGGTTGGGGCATAAAACACTCAAACATTTGCCCATCATGTATGAATATGGGCTAACAGGTGACGGGGGTGTTGAACAAGGAGACGCTGGAGGTCATGAAAGCTCCCAGGTGTGGTGTGTCTGACCTCAGCCCTTATGTACACTTTGCTGGGAGACCCAAATGGAACAAGAGGCTACTAACTTACAGGTAAAGTGGGAAGATATGACGTTGATGGAATTGGCTCCTCTTATTAAACTTTCAGGTGTGTGGATTGTGTGGTGGGAGCATAAACAGACTCGCTGGAGTCCAGATCAATTCGCACAAAGTACAGGAACTGCAAGATCTCCACTTGCAGATGATGTCAAGTTGGCTGCTGCGGAGTGGGCATTTGGAGACCGCCTTGCACACACGATCGTGGATCCACAGACTCTCACTCGCTCCACACACACACACAAACACACGCACACACACACACACACACACACACACACAATAGTTAAGCCGAGGCCAGGGGGCTGCTTTTAAAAATATATTTAATACGATAAGAATTACAATGCGTTCAGTGTATTGATTTCTTCAGTGATTCAGAGAGTTCAGTGCTGTTGTCATTCTTTGTACTTACGAATGAAATATGATGACAGCCACCACACATATCAGAGGAGCGCAGAATGTGCCTGTCTGCACCTGGATGCATTACACCACCTGCGCCACAACCTAGATTCGGTTTCAGCAAAAGTCTAACGTTTTCTATACTTTCTGTCAGGTGTGCTGGGGGTGTGTAAATGAAAATGCCCTTGGTCTGCCCAGAATGACGCAAAGTGGTCAACCAAATTCCCCAACTTCACGTAACAAAAACATAGCCCTGGCACAAAAATCAAGATATGCCGCGGTTTATAGCAGGCGCACATGTGCTGTCTATCAAAACAGAGCACTAGATCGGAATTTGCTCCCTGGCTTCAAATGCATGTGACAGAATAACATAAATTATTAAAATGAATTACTTATTCATTTGTTTGTTGCAGTCTGGTGAATGTTTCCATATGATTTGAGCAGGATCACGCGGTACACACCAGATGTGAGCCAGAGACAGGTGGATGCGACTATTGGTCAAGCCTTCCAGCTCTACAGTGACGTCATCCCACTAGACTTTAAGCAGATCTACAGTGGCACCGCAGACATCATGATTCTTTTTCAGGGTGGATGTAAGCCCATATCGAAGAAATGGGAGCTACCCACGTGTACAAGTACTTTTGTGATCCTCTTTGTTTTTCCTGTAGATCACGGGGACTTTTATCCTTTCGACGGAGCGGGTGGAGTCTTGGCTCATGCAAATTCTCCTGGAAGGCAGGAGGGAGGGGACACACACTTTGATGACGATGAACAATGGACGCTAACTCAAAGAGGTGCCTGGTATTTCGCAATGGCATATTGAAGTGGAGGGCTGAGTCACTGTGCGCATTAGGTTAAGCGAACTCAGTTTGCCCTGACTTGTTGTGCTCGCCGATTTCAGGTGTAAATCTGTTGCTGGTGGCCGCGCATGAGTTCGGCCACGCTTTGGGATTGGACCATTCCAGAGACAGGCGTGCACTGATGTTCCCCACTTACCAATATGTCAACACCAACGGCTACAGGCTGCCAGAGGATGACAAGCGAGGTGTTCAAGCACTCTATGGTGAGATCGAGTTCATTAAATGTTGCCATATATTGAGCTCTTTTGCAGTGCGAGTCACCGATAAAGCTTTGTGGTTTCTATGGTAGACGGATCCATGCATTAGAGGCAAAAGGGCAACAGTGTGTCACCGCATTGCCTACCTCACATTTTATATTTAATGTAGAACTCGATTTAATACTTGGAAGCCCTGTTCCGCGTCTATCGCTCTCCATCTCTCAGGTAGCCGCTCACAAGAGCCGACAAAAGCCCCCAAACCCAATCCACCACCTCAACCCGAGCCGGAGGGTCCGACCGAAGACCCTGAAGACACTCTTCCAAACCCTCGTGATGAGCAGTGCAGCAGAGATCTGATGTTTGATGCCGCCACATCCATCAGAGGAGACTTGTTCTTCTTCAAAAACGGGTACCTTTTTTTCATTCTGTTTATGCGGGATCAGAGTACGTCATCGTTATGTTTGTATACCTCCAAAGATACTACTGGAGGAAGAGTTCCCTTTTCCAAGGAATTCGTTTTACTAAAATAAGCACAAAATGGTCGCGGATCAACACCGTTGATGCTGCATATGAGGTCCCGAGCAAAGATGCCGTTTATCTCTTTGAAGGTAAAGATCATCTAAATGTGATTACATTGTAATTGCGTTCATCAACATTACGCCTACCGCCGCTTTCTCTCCAGGTAATCAGTTTTGGGGCATAAGGGCTTATGCAAAGACATTAGTACCAGGCTATCCAAAGTCTCTGACTGCCCTGGGCCTGCCCTCCACCGTCAGTAAGGTGGATGCAGCCGTCTACGTGCCAACGACTGGAAAAACGCTGCTATTCGTGAACCGACAGTACTGGAGGTGAGTAGGTTTGATTTTGACGTAAATTATTTTGTATGGTATACTGAATGTACATCACTTGTATATTGAATTTTCTTGTGTAATCAATCAACGTACCATGCAGGTCTTTTGGAGCTGTTTATTGTTTGAGAAGTAAAACGCAAACACAATGAGCACACTCACGCAGGAAACTCCGGCAGCGACAACTCGTGCGCTGACAGTTACATGCAGACCCACATCTGACACATCACACCATATTTCCCTCAGGCCCCACCTCTTGAAGTCACATAGAGTAGCTAACACACAGATGCGATCTCACAGACAATCCGTACATGTTTTATTTGCATTTTATGACTCTGGAGGGGGGGGAAGGGGGCGAGACGCATGACATAGACTGGACCAAAACCATGAGATGACAATAGAAGAATTACTGTATATATTTACCATCTTTCTTTCAACAGCTCTGTACAAGCCATTATGAAAGTAGATGACCACAAAGCACTTGTGGTGTCAGGTTGCAACATCTCGATAGTTTTGGCACAACTGTTTATTGTTGAAAAGGCATTCCTCTGCTGTCTCCTTGCTCTCCCACAGCTACGATGAGGCCAGAAACCAAATGGATTTTGGATACCCACGAGACACGGCAAGAGACTTTCGTGGCATCGGCTCGAAAGTTGATGCAGTTTTTTCCAATTATGGTGAGAAACACAATTTTCTATTTTTTTTCCCCAAGTCAGGGGATTGCCATGACTGCATTTAAAACACTATTTGTACTTTTTGTTCAAATGTTATGTTGGCCAAATATAAGGTGTGTTAAACGATTTCTTCTTTCTGTTAGGGTACCTTTATTTCTCAGCCGGCCCAAGACAGATAGAGTACTATCTGCCACAACGGAGAGTGATGCGAGTGCTGCTAAACTATAGCTGGCTCAATTGTTACTAAGAGTGAGAGCACAGTATGATTTTTTTTTTTCTTGTTAGGAAATTGCGCAATAAATGATCTTCTCCATGACTGCTTCTGCTTCTTTTTTTTTCAAACAAGAAACATCACCACAATGTAACTTTACAATCTTTTTTTGTAGCACTTATATTCTGATAACAAAAAAGGTACACCACAGATGTCAGCATTTTATTTTTAAGTTCCAGTTGTAACAAATCTCTGTAATCTGCTTTGTTCACTGCACACGAGACCAACCACTAAAGGACAGCAGCAAATAACATACTGCGTAACAACACATTTGGGGGGGGGGATACTTGTTCCAAATTAAAACCCTTTTGGAATTTTATGTACTTACACTTTAGAAAGACATGAATAGAATTTCCTCAACTTAATCCTATCCCATTTTTTCTAAAGGGAGGCTCCACATATTTTTGACGGAACTGTGAAAGGCGCTTATAAATAAAATGTATTATTATTATTACTAAACCCTCAACTCTGGTGTATCACCATCCGTGGATGACGAGGATTAAGATGAGGATGACGTAAACGAACCTTGCACTTTTTAATTTTCAGACTTAATTACTACTATTATTTTGAATCATTTGACTTCAGTAAAGCTTTGAGTTTTCTACATCGAGTCAGATATAGGTTTACAAAGTCAACTGTAAACAACAAAGTAACGCTGGAGATGGCAGTCGTGTTTCTCACGTCTGTTGTAACAACTTAATTTTGAAAGACGAAGAAGAGCGATGCGGAAGCGTCATGATCTTGCGACACGGAAAACGAATGCTGACTGACCGCCCGTTACACCGAACAATTTTGTAGTTTTTGCTCAGATACCGTCAGAGTTGCCAATCCGTTCTCAGACGTTTGCACTCCCGGGTTTTGCGCAAGAGTTTGCTACTCTCGGCTGCTGACTAACGTTAGCCTTTAGCTTATCTGCACATAAACAATGGACTAAACACTAGCTATACCGAACGCGCACTCCAAAAGTAAACTCAACTGTCACTTCGGTATAAACGAGGTGAGCATTTTTTCTGCCTGCATCGACAGCTTTCTAGTTTCTCTTGTGTTGTTCGGCTCCGAGTATCAGTTTCTGTACGTTTTTTTGCGCTGTACTTTAAGATGATTTCTACAACGCGTTGTTGTCTTGCTCACCAGATGGAGTCACTCAACACATTTGAATCAGAGATGGAGGCTGATGGGCAGGGGAGCTATTCTCTGTTTCCATCACTGGATAGCATTGCTGGTTTGTCTGGGACGGCTGACACATTGGAAAGGTTTGTTGTCATTGACATGTACCCACGGGCCACAACATTAGGTACACTTGTACAGAAACGATCTTTCGTTCAACAAGTGAGTTTTATTTATAGGTCAAGTGTGAAGTAAAGTTTGTTAACCCTCTTTTGAGTAATATGTAGGGTTAAAATTATTTCGTTAGTTTTTTTTTTTTTAACGCAACCCACTCCGGTTCATAGTTAGACCCATCGCAACGTGCTTTCGTTCGGCAATCTCCGGTGAGTGACGTCATTTACAGAATGCCGTCAGCATTGTAATGCGGGCGTGAGAAGCCGACCCCAGCTGTACCTGAAAATAGTTGCCAGCCAGTCGTTTTTGAAAGGCCACATATGCGGAAGTTTTTTCCTATTGTATTTATAAATCAGAGCAATCTAAATTCTAATGTTGTTTTCACTGTGTATTTAAATACACCTATGGCATAGGATTTTTAGTGTCCCTTATGTATAAGAGAAGTAATCCTATTAATGATATCACAACAAGGAGGGCTGTGGGGTTTAAAATCGGGGAATATGGTTAATATTTGTCAACTGCGGGCATGTGAATCCCTTTTAGACTTTTCTGCGATTAAGGACGATATAAATACATACATTTGACTTGCCTTGACTGAGCATTTTACCTTACCAGTGAACCCCCCAGTGAAATCGCAGAGAAGCCAAACCTGACCTGGCTTGATGCTGCTCAGGTTCGTGTTGTTCTTTTTATGATGGTTAATAAACTAAGCTTAACAAACTTTGACGGTTTCTTTATTTTGAACGCTACACGTAGATTGTTTTGGAAGAAGCAGGACATCCCATGCACATAAAGGAGATCAAGCAGAGAATCATCGACCGGGGGCTTGTGCAGTCCAAGTATGGCTAAATACTGCATTTTGTTTTACCACCATATACATCAATTGCTCCCTTTAATTACGATTCAGGTTGTTGCATAAATTGCACATTCTCACACTTTGCTCTGTTGGCCAGTGCAAAGTCAAGTCTGGAAGCCGTCATGTATCGTGAGGTAAGCAAGACTTCACACTTGTCGTATATTCACCGTTTTTGTTCAGCTGATGCTCCACAGTCTTCATTTTGAGTTAATTTAGTGTAGCTCGCATCCTTTCACATCGCCATAGACATCTGAACTGGGGTTAGATATGAAGGTGCAGGCAACCTTCGGGTTGAGCTGCACAAGCAAGTTGTTAGTAAACCGAACGCCTGATGTGGCTCGTCCAGCCTGGATGTGCCCGCCTCAGTCTCACGCTATATTTCAGACACAAAAAGGCAGCAGGAGATTCAAGAGGATTGAAAACAGAAACGGAGTCTTTGCAATGCTGGTGAGTTGAACGGGGGCAGAACTGCAATACTGACACTACATTCAAATGTCATCGAATATTGCAAATATTGACGTAATTGTTTCAATGCTTTTAGGTTTTTTGTGGAAGATTCTATACTACATTATAATCGCACCTGTGATCCCCAGTCAAAATAATTTTGTGTCACATTCCTTTTGTGTTTGTGCGTGTGCGCACATGGCATCAGTTATTATTTCACCATTCCCATTGTGGTTTGGCACCGCAAGAGTCTCCAGGTGATCGTTGTCCTCTCCCTTAGACAGATGCCGAGCGGCATCAGGCTCTGAAGACCTTCAGCACTCAGGCCTTCCTTGGCACATCGCAACAGAACATCGTCTCGGCTTCTGGATCCGGGGGAGCCGCCGCCGCCGCAGGCGCCATCGCCGCCGCCCCCTTTCCTCCCATCGCCGTTTCCTCAGAGAGCAAAGCAAAGATGAGGAGAGGAGCGCGGAAAAAAATGAACGAAAAGTACCGGCTGAAGTACCTTCGACTACGCAGAGCAGCGCGTGCCATGATATTTGTGAGTAAACAAAGTCTTCGGGAGAATTTTTTCTTTTTTTTTTTTTTTTTTAACCTTTGTGGTTGAACGCAATCTGTTCGGTCCAAAGGAAACCGTGGAAACAAAGAAATCAGTCATTCTTCACCATCAGTAACTATAAAGAGCCTTTTCTTGTAAGTAACATTTGTCATTGACTTACAGGAAAACGCAGCTTTGCATGATGAAGTTGCCCATCTGGAAGAGAAGTTTTTGAGAGCAAAGGAAGAGCGCCAGTAAGTCAATACACAGAAACGTCTGTCTTAATCAGGAATTCATTTATTTTCCCATTTTTATTGTTTCACTGTTTGATCGATGGCCATCTTCAAAATCTGTCGGAAGAGCAGGGGCCCAACTTTTGCAAATCTCTCTTCCAAATGTCCAGATTGCTGCTCTTGCACTACCAGTCTCTGTCGGAGGGAGACTTCCTGCCCACGCCAAGCTCGACCGCTCATCCCGCCGCGCCGCCTCCCGCGACGAGCTGCAGCCCCGGAGGACCGCCTGGCCTGTGCGGGACGCACCTCCTCGCATCTGTGGCGTCGACAGTGGACGAGGGGCAGCTGAAGAAACCCAAGAAGGAACGCAAAGAGCGAGGCAGAGAGAATGGAAAGGATGAGCGTGAGTGCTCTTTTGAAGTGTTCTGGTGACCGCATCCTTGTCAGAACGTTGACATGACTTCAATTATTTGAAGTTCCAAAGAAGATGACCAAGAAGAGAAAACTGGCTGATGGCTCCCGGAAGCTGGTGCAACCCATCCCACTCGACTCCTGCGGCCGCCCCGTCTTCCCCATCGTGCTAGGAGGCCTAACGCTGTACAGCTTGGGCGAGGTGGGTGAAGTCACGCTAGACGCCGCGCCGGCCGGCGTGTCCGCTGAAGCGAACCTTTCCCGACTCCTCCCCAGATTATCACGGATCGAATGTTTTTCCACGATGAATGCGCCATCTACCCGGTGGGCTTCTGCAGCACGCGGGTCTTTGCCAGCATGAAAAACCCTGAGCTGCAGTGCCTCTACACCTGCCAAATCAAAGATGGAGGAAGTGGCCCGCAGGTAATCGGAAACACGGAAGCTTATGCTGGTTGTGAGGATGATGTCGTGCGAAAGGGCAATGCCACCAAGTTAGGAGGTTGCGTCCTTCATATGTATTCATCTTTTGACTTTTGCATTGCATTTTCCTTCCCGTTTGTCACGGCACAGTTTGAGATCGTCCCCGAAGATGATCCCCAGAATGCCATCGTGGCCTCCTCTGCCCTGACTTGCCACTCCAACTTGCTCAAAGCCATCGCGTCAGTCAGGTACTAAACTGCTCAATCATTAGAACCAAGAACCTACGAAATAGGTATTGCTTTGAATGCTCTCTGAGATGAAGTCTCACAAAATTTGTCTGTGATATCAAAAAGTCTGGTTTATTTCATGTTTACATCCAAAAAGGCTTTGACGGTTAACCGTATCACTTTTTTTTCTTCTCAGTTCCAAGGCTGTTGCCCCAATCGTGCCATCCGGAGCCGATTTCTTTGGCTTCTCTCATCCCACCGTCCAGAATCTCATCCAGAGTTGTCCTGGAGCACGCAAGTGTCACAAGTATGTTTCCTATCATTTTTTTTTTTGTTCTCGCATCACGTATATGCTTTCAGTTTTGCTGTCTCCCATGTCCTCACAGCTACCGATGGATACGGTTCGAAGTGTGTCGCCCGGGCGATGGCCAGAAACCTCACAGCCTGTCGGAGGATGACGCCTCCATCAACTTTGAGGCCTATCAGCAACACCGGCGCTTTAGCGACAAGCCGGAGCAAATCTCAGGTTTGGTTGCCAACGGTTGATTTGACAGTAAAGGGCCCTCCCATTTTTAACACTTTAGATTAGTAACTAATTTATGAAAATAACAGATGCCGTGGGGACTGACTAATTGTATCAATTTGTGAAAAAGTATCAAATGAACCAAATTTGCACATCGGAGGTTTGGGTCCAATGGCACTGATAATATGCATTTCTTGAATAGATTTTTTTTTGGGGGGGGGGCATTGTGCTGTACTGCATATGGTCAGCAAAGTGGAACAGTGTGATATGTGTTGTATGTATGTCCTACAAAGAGACAAAAGTTCGTCTTACTTTCACTCAGACATAAAAGAACAAACTATTGTTGCAGAACTACAGTACATGTTGACTTCTGAGTTCAGTTTGAGCCCTAGTTACGCAAGCCAAGAGTGGAATGCAGTCTGAATTTCTCAAACACTCTTCATACTGAATCACGTCGTCTCTTTCTTTTAGCACAGACACTGCAGTGTTCGAGCACCTCACACCTGACCGCCACATCCGCGAAGCCGTCGACTGCCTACTTCAGCTCCTGACGTTTCTGCGCCTCAAACGCCATCAAAGTTGACAAGTACAACAAATGCAGAACACATCTCATGTCTTTTACACTGTCATTTGGGCCCCAAAACGTCCGCAGTTGTTGACTGTACATTTCCGAATGAAATCCAGGAGCTCAACATGTATTCAAGATGCTCAAATCTTTTTATTTGTTCAAATTCTATGACTGAGAAACAGTGATTTGTCTGCTAAAGTGCTGATTTAAATAAAAACATCTGGCCATCATATAGTCTTGGGAGCATAGCAATTAGTCACAGTGGTTTTCTAAAAAAACAGCAAGACTTTTATACAAACTACGGTTCGTCTCAGCAACTAATAATTTACCGAGAAATGTCTTTCCAAAAAGAATAGTTATTAGCTTGATAGCGATTGAAAATGAAAGGGGGTGCAGGTAATGAAGTGTTTGCGCCGTAAACGGGACATGCTTTAAAATCACACGGCCAGTCTTTCCACGCGTATCGCAGAGCTGCGACTTCAGCCGTGGCTCGACAGACACTGGCTGCTAGCTGGACGGTGGTGGCAGCCCAATGGATGATGGGAGCTGGAACCCAGAGGGACTTGGGCCCACATGGACTCTGTGACTGCGAGCAGCATATCTTGGGAGGGGGGAGAGGGGATTATATCTTAAGAGATAATTCACTTGAGCTAATTTATCAAAATACCGATACAGTGAACACGCACACACACGTCATGATGAGCAACAGTCATAACGGCCCTTAACACGAACGAAACAGAAAAATAGATACAAGAGTTTGTGAAAAGGAAATCACTGCCCGGGCAACCGACTTGGGATTCACTTGCTTGAAGCTGTTACAGGTTTTACAAGCAGCGAGGTCAGTACAAGCCGCCCACTGTCAGTGTTTATTACCTCAAAGACGTCTTTAGATGACTTGACAGCGACAGCTTGATCGTAGGTGATGTTGACATGCATCGCAGTGGACAGGATTTGTTTCGGGAAAGGGCCAAGGAAGGCCACATCCTTCTCGTTGTAGGCCACCGCTCGTGCTCCAAGTGTCAGTCTGTATGCTACGTCCTGCTTGTCGCGAGGGTGGATGCTGCACATGAACACAGTCGCGTCACGTCACCCGTGGAGGAGACAGTTCATCAGACATTTGGAGCATAAAAAAGGGTTGGTAGGTGCAGGAGCTGTGCTATGTTTGGATATACTGTGAACATTGATACAAACAGATTAATGTTAGAAGTCGACCGGTATTTATTTTTGTCGGACAGTTCAAGAAGTGAAACTGAACACAACGCTGAGTGAAATATTCCATGAGTGTCAAGACATTAGAATATGACATGCATGAAGGAAATCGGAATCATTTTCATAGCAAAACTAGGGAGCAATTTGGCCTTTTGAAAATGATTACGGTCTAAGAAGCGGTCAATACACTTTACAGATGCGTACGGATACTTCTTTGTTGCTCCCTTTTAGCCGCTAACCAAGCTTTCTGTGTTGTATACCTCTGTTACTGCAATGATGTCCCACATTTTTTCCCCACCACCCTGTGTATCTGTCTGGTTGTGCTACTTGCTGCACGACATAGAGGAGCAACTCGGCATGTTTACTTGTGCGAGTGGTAGCCAGCCGTGTTGAGTATTCAAGGGAAAAAAAAATAAGTACAAGGATATCCAAATACACTTTGTAAGTCACTGACAAGTATACCGTTTTCTTACTTGCCGTACGGTGAGGTCTCATCTGGTAAATCCATAGCCACGGCCATGAAGGTCCTTTGCAGACGAGAGTTGGGAACAAAGCCTTTGTCGGCTGTCTGGTGCCAGCGGATGTTTGGAAAGCCGTCATCCTTGGAGCCTTTTATCTTGGTGCACAGCTGCATCGGGGAGAACTTGATTTTTGTCTCGTAGCAAATGATGTTTCAGGTACTGGTTTGGCCCAAAACATGTCAGAAAGCAGGCAAAAATGTTGACGGTTGCTTTCTAGTGTAAAAGCAGACCTTTGCGCTAGTTGTTTTTATTCAAAGTCAAGATAACCGGTCTGCTTTCATGGAGGACTGCGGAAATCTGAGAATATTTACTGTTTCATTCCAAGGATTTGGACAATGTTGAATTAAAACAGGTCTCTAAACCACCCCCCCCCCAACCTTTTTTTTGCCTCACGGACCAGTTTAATGTCAGACAATATTTTCAGGGACCGACCTTTCAGGTGTGATGGATAAATACAACAAAATATTATGAAAAAAACTGCATGAAAACTGTGACATTTTCGTAACATAATAACAACACAAATCACGACAGAGGAACGTCCTATCTGGCCGCAATGCTCTGTGGTCACTATGGTAACATTTAAACGTGCCTTCAAAATAAGACACACCATTTTAGCAGTAACCTATCACGTGACCGAGAAGCGCGCCATCAAGAGTGACGTACTGTCGACGGATGTAACAGAGGATCCGGTAATTTTTCAAAATAAAATGGAAGCAATGTCAGTGATTTATTCTTTCCGTGTGACCCGATACCAAATGATCTGCTCTAAACGATTAATCATTGCATTTCTAAAGAATAAAACATTGATCAGAAAAATACCTGGACAAATCCAAAGGGAAAGTCCACAGCAGTTTGCCCACCAGAGCCCAGGTGAAATGCCATCCTCCAATCATCAATCATGGCAGGGAAAGAACAGTTGTACTTGTTTTGATGATAATGAGTATTTTCTTCACCTAAAAAAAAAAAGTGAGGCATTTCTATCTATAATAGGTTCTGATTGTGCACATTACCTTGGTACCACAGAGCTCCTTTGAGTGTCATGTTAAGCAGTGGGTGGATCATCGCATTCCACAGGACAGAGTTGTCAGTTGGCGAGCTGAGGACAAAGATTTTGCAAAGGTTTTCGAGCAATGGTCCACCCAGCCTTTATTCTGCCACAGACTGGCAACCATCTGTCAAATGAGTGGGCGCTGATGGACCTTCTTTGTAGACCTACTTTTTATTCTGGTCCAGTCCACATTGCTGAAGCGCTCTTGAAGATGACCAGGCTTCGACGGGCGTGCCCCCCCAACAGGACTCCACCAGTCCTATTGGATACTTCAGTTTCTCGTACATGTAACGTCCAAAGAGCCAACACACGGCAGAGAACTGCGACACACAACCTGGAAACACACTGCCTTCTCAAAAGCAGTCGTTGGATCATCAGACGGAGAAAAAAAACACTTGCTTACTTGCTTTCGGGACAGACCATGGAAGCGTCACTCCAATCAGATCGGTCAGCTCAGTGTCACTTCTCTTCAAGGCAACCATAAAAGGCCTCACGTGAGGATACTTGGATGCGAGAGAGAGTTCCTCAGATGCATTGAAAATCTACCGGGTTAAAAAAAAAAAAAAAAAAAATCCAAATTTCAAATCTCTTGACCAGTCAGTCATGTATGAATTTTCTATGCGTTTTGCTGACCTGAGATGTTTTAAAGTACATGTTGCTCTGGCCACCACAAAGCCAAATGTCGCCGAAAAGGACATCCGTCAGAGTGGCCGAACTGTTCTGAAGAGTTGCAGTCACATTGTAGGGACCCCCAGCCTCGATGGGGTCCAGGGTGACTCGCCAGATGCCTGCACAGACAGCAAAATTTGTGAATAATTTTAACCAGATTTTTCCAAGAAAAACTGGGGTTCGGCTCCAAATATAAATACATTTACAAGAATCTGCAAATACATGAGTCCGCAGGTGCCAAACCATGAGTTTGCGGGGTCCTCTGTACTTTGTTGTCACCCTTAGTTTCAAGCAACTTGCACAGAGCATTTTTGTGCATCTGTCACGATCAGGTTTGTCAGGTTTGACCTCTCCTTTTTTCATCTTCTTTTCACTCACGCTCGACAGCAACGGCTACATTTACCGTTCTCCACAGTGACCGGTGAGCTGTTGTATTTGAGTGGTCCTGACAAGTAGACTGTGACTTGGGCACCTTCAGGGTTGCCATAACCCCACAGAATCGCTCTCTCCGGAGACTTTTGCAGCACCATGTGGTTGCCATAGTAGGAGGCAAAGCCAAAGGACGTCACATCTAGGCACACAGACACACGTGTTCTCTTTAAAGAAAGTTTTACATGTTAATCTATACAACCTTGGCACATACTATATATAAACTCAGTGACTCCTCACTATTATTACATGGGTTGGAAGAAAAAAAAATGTAAATGAGAATTGTTCAATTAACAGTGGGCCGTATCATAATGTAAACGGTAGTTAGCATACATGTAGCAGTCAAAAGAAACAGCCGTTATTTTAATGTTGCGATATTGTAGGCGTTCTCGAATTTACGACAGTGACGGAAACTAATAATCGGTATTCCAGTTTCGACAGCGATACATCAAAAGATGTGTCAAATGGCGACAATTCTCATAAAGTGTCAAAGTGATCATCATAATTCAGACTTTTCCAAATCCAAAGAGCTGCACATCGTTTTTTAAACATGCTATTTTGTTTTAATAATAATAATGATACCGAGAAAAAAAAATAATTTATGTGTTGTGTTTATTATTTTACTTGATGTTAACTGTTTTGTTAAGCGCTTTTTTAGAGCTGCTGCTGTTGTGAAAGCGCTATATAAATCAGCATGTATTGTATTGTATTGTATTGTATTGTATTGTATTGTATGTGCAACCGAAAATAAAGTTTTTTTTAGAGTGAAGTTGTCAGGCTCCCTTTTACTTTTTGCTTGGATTCGCAAAATGCAAACGGGATGACATGAGGCACCCAACTCCTAGGAGTGGATTCAGCAAAAACACTCATGAACGCACGAACTGAGTTCAAAGTGCGGATTCACTCGTAAATTAACTTGGGCGAACTACGAGACGACCACCACCAACAACAAGTTAACCTCGCTCATCTTCAACGCGATACACTTGAACGACGAAGACGAGAAACGGAAAAAGTGGTTTTACTCACCGCGGCGTTGAAAGGAAGCTAAAACCAGAAGAGCCAACGCATAAAAGAGCAAAAACGATGCAATAAGTAGGTAAGCCCACAACAGAAATACGAGTTTAGGAAAATATCTGGACATTCTTGCTCATGATTCGTTCCAACCTCTTCTGACGGTCCACAATGGAAAACGTTGACGTGCGCAAAAAGTGATAGCGACAGACAAAGGTGATTTTACACGTACTGTACTTCCTGATTTACACGTAAAATGCGCCTTCCCCCCCTCGGTCCCGGACCAACTGGAACAGGTGGAGGCGGGGTCAAAGTACGTCCATAGGGGATGCTCAAAATGCCG